CAATCCTTTTGTCCCGGTGGAGAGGAAAGATTTCTATTTCATCCTTTTTGAATAGGTCATATAATAAAATTTTCAATCTTATCATAAAGGCTGACTGTATTCTGACTTTTTTCGGCATGCTTGATAAGGAGTTCAGAAATTTCTTTATTTATATCTTGATAATTCACAATATCCATTACGCTATTGAATGACGTCTGCAATTGAGAAATTTGCTCAAATAATTCCGAGACTTTATCCAAGAGGATAGTTTGCTTATTCATTTGGCTTTTCATCTCTAGTGAAAAAATTTGCAAGACAATTCTCATCAGATTTTATTAGTTCAATTTCAATCATGAAGTCAGATAATGCCATTTGCCATTTAATTAATCTTTTATTTTGAGATATAGGTTTAGTATTATTTTTAATAAATGCTCTTATTTGAGAATTATCCGTTCGTAACTTAAATTTCTTAGGTAATAAAAAGTAGTAAAATTTATGACATCCTCTTATTATTGCAAGTAATTCTTTTCATTTATGTGATATCTTTTTTCTGTATCTGAGAACATTCAAGATGTATATTTACATAATAAATTATTTTTTAGTTTTAAAACTACACTCCAAACTTCTTCAGAAGTATCGATTTTTAAAATAAGATTATCTTCATCAGATGGTAAATTTAAAAATGGTAAATTCTTACATTGCTCTTTTATTTTCTTTACTAGAGCTGTATGATTTTCAGAGAATTCATATTTATTATTTTTCTTTAACAATTTTTGTAGTTCTTTTTTTTTCGCTAGGTTGCAGATAAAATCTGATGCATAATTTAATATTTCCAAAAATCTTTGCAATTGTTTCCTATCTTCTAGTTTATTAGGAAACACTTGTATTTTTTCTAAAATATGTGGTTGCATTTTTATTCCCTCACCATTTATTTCTAGACCTAAAAATTTAATTTCTTGTAATCCTATTTTTGCTTTCTTTTCTGATAATCCAATTCCATATTTTAGACATAAATCAGAGAATATATTTAAATGCTCTAAATGTTCTTCTATTGAATTTGATGCTATTAAGATATCATCAACATATACATATAAGAAAACATAATCTTTGAAGATTTTATCCATTTTTTTGATATATTTCAGGGGCATTTTTTAATCCAAACGGCATAACTAATCATTCATGTTGTCCTTGAATGCTGTGTATTTAATACTATCATAATGCATTTTTATTTGCCAAAAATCACTTTTACAATCAAATTTAGAATATATTTTCTTTCTTTTACTCATATTTATGAGTCTCTTTATGTGGTAAAAAGTATCCATCAAATATGATTTCATTATTTAATTGTTATAATTAACAATTATTCTAGATTTATTTCTTACTATTCAGCATGATTTCTTACCATAAATGCAGGTGAAGAATGGAAAAAATTACTTTCTCTTATTAAAAGTATTTTTAATAATTCTTTAATTTATTTTTTGAATTCATCTTGATCAATAGGATTATACCTCATGAGTTTTACTCTAATTATTTTATTTTATTTTTGAGTTTTATTTCAGCATAATATTGATTTTTATCCCAAAACTTTAGTGGATTTTTTTGCACAACTTAATCGTAACTTTTCTTTTATATTTTCTAGGGTAGTAGATATGATTTTTAATTGTAATTGTTTTAAATGTAATTGTCTTTCAAATTTTAACATAGGACTTCCTTTTGGTATTTTTAATTTTTCTGAATATCTTATATCACCATATTGACCTACGCAAGGATGAAAGGTTAAAGGAATTTTACAGGCACAAGCATGTTTAAGGCGGAAAAATACGATCCAATGGCCACAAAGAGTTTTAAAATATATTTGAGATTGTAAAGTATCAAATAAAACTTTATGAAATAATTGAAAAAAATTATTTTCTAAGAGTATATCTAATCCTGTATCAAAGAAGTAAAATGGAGGACATTTAACAAGGAATGAACCAAGTATTTTTTGAAGTTTAGCTATTCCAAAATTTAAAGTAATAGGGTTATTATAAATATCAATACCTGTTTGATTAGTTAAGATTTCATGATATTGTGGTGAGAAACATATAGGTTTACATAAACATGTTCCTGATCCACTATCAATATATGTTGCAAAGTATTCAACTTTATAATCTTTATAGGTTATTCCTATAGGTATATAAATACCATATTGGCTCATCATTTTCTTTCAACATATATTGTTTTATCGTTATGGGTAATAACTATTCCACTAGTGGTTATATTATAGAGGGATACTAAATCTTTTTTTTTTGTGGCAAAACTCGGAAGCCGGAGAGGGATGCTAGCCCGTATTTTATTATCAAGAGTTAGGAACAAGGAACACGACACAATGATCTTGTTACTCGCTTATGCTACATCATTAAAAAGAGGGAAAGCCAGCCTTGTCAAATTGCAAGAATATCTTAGCTTTGGCTGGGAGGTGGCGAAACTCCGTAAACACCACATCCGAACCCAAATGCGCAGACGCAAGGGTGACCACCATCGTATTCCCTTCCCTAAAGGTATATTCCAGTGTAGCATGTAAATCCCTGAGCACCATCCGAATGTTTTGAATAGTCCGGCATAGTGGCTACTTGTCTAAAGAATTTGATGAGATCAATTGAACCAAACCATTTGTATCAAATTGCACGACCAAATTGTAAATATTCTGGTCTGGCAAAGCTAAAGACCAGCGAACAAAGATAGTGCCTCCGCTATCAACACATCCACAACCCTGAATTCTTTATGGAATGCGAAAACCAAATCCCCTTCATCATTACGAAGCAACCCTCCTCCTGTTCCCTCAGAACTCGATATCCTAGCATCCGTATTCAGCTTAATAAATTGCTTCAGGGGCTTCTACCAGTGGACTACCAAAAATCGAATTGAAGTACGCTGGACCTTCGCCATGCTAAACTAGACGCAATCACGATCCCCTGAGAAATGAGAAGGACCAAAAACTTGTGCTGTGCCCATTTGAAGAAGGACTTGCTCCACTTGGAATATGACACGTGTAATTGAAAAAGAACCCAAGCTTCATTCCTACCGGTCCAAAGGAACCATAGAGTCAACAATGGGAGCAAAACCCTTATATGCCTCGAGGAAACCAACAAATGAGAACAAAACCAACTAAGTAACAAAGAATAAATGCCAGTTGATCGATACAAAGTAATTCCAAATCTATCAGCAAAATTGCCCCAAACCTCAGAAGCAACTGAATAATCAACAAACAGATGAATACAAGTTTCGACTGCTTGTGAACAACAACCACAACTAGATGCCAAGTACATCTCCTTTTGCTGTAATATGCAATCAACTGGCACCCACTTTCGTAGCAACCACCAAGCAAAGAAAGAGATTTTCAGAGGAATGATAAGATCCCAGATAAACTTATCTAAGAGCAAAGTATTTCTTTTTTTTTTTTCCGGAGAGCCTCCCAAGTCGAGGAGACCGAAAACTCGCCAGTTGTCCCCATCAGCCACACCATCCGATCCTTTTGAGAAGGATCAAAGGGGATAGCTACAATTTCTGGTACCAACGACTCAGGCACCCACTTCTGCAACTGACCAATATTCCATCCACTCAAAGAATAGAACACATCCATTAGCAAATGAGGAAGGTTTGTAACACTCAAACGGGAGGCTAGTGACTGATTACCACACCAAATGTCAAACCAAAAGTCAATCAAACCTTCTCCTAAACACTAGTGAATATTGCTATCCACAAAATGCTTGACCTTCTCTAACCACCTCTAGGAGAAGGGAGGTCGTTCCACTACTACTCGCGCTGGATGAATTCCCTTGATGTACTTGGAGTTCATGAACTCATCCCAACAGGAATTATTCCCTCGTAACCTCCACCAAAGCTTGCCAGAGACAGCTTGGGAAACGTCGTCAAAGGACTGAAACCCTAAACCCTCTTCTTGTAATGGAAAGCATAACTTCTCCCAAGCACTCTAGTGAATCCTCCTTGCATTAAAATTCTAGTCCCAAAGGAACGAATTACAAATTCTACCTAACGCCACCATCATCCCCTTTGGTGGTGACAAGACTTGCAGAAGATACACGAGGATTGAGCTAAGAACATGCTATACTAAAATGATCTTCCCTCCCATACTTAGTAGCTTTAAGCTCCAATGGAACAATTGTTGTTCTATTTTAGCAAGGAGACCATCAAAGGAATACACCCAACCTATTGTGAACCAGCTGAGCCCCCAGATAAGTTACCGATAGCTATCCCTTCCTAAATCCAAGAACCGAGGACACCAGCGCTACTTGGTCTGGCATTGCTTTGGACGAGCAGATAAAGGAGCTCTTGTTCACATTGACCTTTTGCCCGAACATAGCTTGGTAGGAAGCCAAAAAATCACGAATTGAATTCAACGCCTGAGCTGAACACCTTGTGAAAATAATCATGTCGTCCGTGAATGCCAGATATGGGACACGAGATCCTGCCGTTACATAGAAACACCATGCTTTTTCCAAAAAAAGTTGGTGAAGTCCTCTACCCAGGAATTCAGCAACCAATAGGAAAAGCGTTGAAAACAATGGGTCGCCTTGTCTCACCCCTCGCGAAGACTTAAAGAAACCAGATGGCTCTCTATTTATTAAGACTGAAGACCACGAGTTAGAGAAGGTTCGAAACAATAAATCAACTACCCTTTCACTGAAGCCAAAATTGTGAAGCATAAACAGCAAAAAAGGCCACTCCACTCGATCATAAGCTTTCTCCAAATCCAACTTTAGAATCAAGTTAGGACAGGTGAGCCATTGATCTAGGTCAAAGATCAATTCTTGTGCTAGAAGGATGTTATCTATAATTCCTCTTCCCGGAACAAAACCAGGCTGCCAGGAGGAGATCAATGAGGGTAGTAACCTATTCAGCCTTTTCGTTAAAATTCTGGATATAATCTTTGAAGAAACATTGCAAAGACTGATAGGATGAAAATCCCGCCACTGAGAAGGCCTATCCATTTTCGGCAACAAGACTAGTAGCGCACTGGACTAGCCTTTAGGTTGCTCTGTGCCCTTAAAGAAGTCCTGTATAGCGCTCAACAGATTCTCCTTAATTACCTCCCAACATGACTGATAGAATCCTACTCCAAAGCCATCTGGACCTGGAGCGCTTTCTGCATTCATTTCAAAAATAATTTCTCGCACCTTCTTCAATGCAGGCAACTCCTTTATCATATTATTGTCGACCTCCCCTATTGGAGGGACCTCAAATGGCATGCTAAAAGGTCCCCTATAGCCGTTCGAAGAAAAATGCTTGCTATAAAAGTCAATTGTAGAATCTTTAATCAACTCAGCAGACTCCAACCAAGTCCCAGATTTCTCCTTGATTCTCGCAATAAAATTTTTATTCCGTCTTTGTTTCACTATAGCATGGAAAAATGCCGTATTAGCATCACCTTCCTTCAACCATTTTATACCAGATTTCTGCTTCCAAAAGGCACACTTTACTGATGTAAGGCCCGAAAATAACATTTTTTCTAGACGACCATACAATGGAGCAGTTGATGAGAAAACGCAAGTGCTTGTGAGTAGAAGAAATAAACAATTTAAAGATCACAAGCGTAACAATAAGTAAATAAAAAGGAAAGAATTGCAAACCAATTAACTACCCAACTCCTCTTGAGCTTGTAGATTAATTCAAACAAGCTTCTTCAAGTTGATGAATTACAATCACTCTTGTGTACAAAGGAAAGTTCACCTCCTCCTTGCCCCGAACTCTATTCGGTCAAGCCATAACGTTTTACTATCCCTCAGGACAACCCTCATAGAGCTACACTCATGAAGTATTTACTCATAAATGAAAATCTTACAATGAATCTCACACCACTAAGACTACAAATCTTCTTTGAAGAGTATTTTCTTACCAAAATCACTCTAGATCTTTTGTATCTTCAGTGTGTCAAAGTTGTTTGAAATATCTGATCAACTGCTATTCATATAGGATCAAGAAAGTGCCTCATTAATGCTTCCAACGGATAGAAAGTAGCTGAAGAGTCAACTAGCCGTTGGAGTGTCAGACGTCCGATAGCCCTGTTTTATGCGTCCGACAGCAGGCAGTGAGTTTAAGAGATTTTCTTCAATTCTTTCGGACGACCAGTGCAAGCTTTTTGTGCGTCCGACAGCAAACAAAGAGATTTGAGAAGTTATCTTGTTTCTATCGGACATCCGGTAGAGACATATTCAGCGTCCGATAGTTTTGTCCACTTTGAAGGATCCTATCGGACGTCCGAAGCATACATCCGAAGTTGTGCAATGATTATCGGATGTCCGGTACTGTCTTCTTGAGCGTCCGACAGGTTCAGCATACTCTGTCTTTTTCAAATGTGCTTAATCTTTGAACCTGATTTGTTTCATTTCTGAAAAAACCTTTGAGGAGATGTTAGTAACATCCATTTGTTTTGTAATCATCAAAAGCTAGGGACCAAGGTCAACATTCTCCCCCTTTTTGATGATGACAAAATAATGGATGGAAGAAAGAAAAAAATTGAGCATATAAGCATAAACTCCTCCTCACACAATGCATCTAAACTTATAATTTCAGAATAACTCCCCCTTACACATAACATCCATTTCTCTCCCTTTTTGTTATCATAAGATGAGAGTAAAAATCTGCTACCAAAAATCAGCAATAATAATAGAGAATCCAATAATCCAAATAAAAACAGAGAAATGACAGCAATCACAGCAAATCATCATAAGATCAGCATTATTCTTTTTTCTCTCTTTTTGACATCATACAAATTCAGTAAAAAATCAATAAAAACTCAGTTCAAAACATCAGAAACATAAAAAGAGAATTACAAAAAAGCATTATGAACAAGAATCTCATCAATCTTACCAATATCTCCTACTTGTTAGATTTAGTATCATGTCTAACTATCCACATGCATTTCATGCATTTTTTCATATTCTTTCTCACATAACAATCACTTTTCATGTGACCTTTTTGACAACAGAAATTACACATAACCAAAGAGTTATTTATATGAATAGATTTAATAAATCTTACTTGTCTTCTCTTATAAATAGCAAATTCGTTGGAATTAGAATTCAACCTATTCTTTTGAAAACATACTTGTTTCTTGTGTTTAAGCAACTCATTTAGACCATCCATTTTTCATTTCAAATCACCTTGTTCCTTTTTGAACAATTCACAAACTTTTGTTTTTCTATCAAAGTGTAAAGCAGTCTCAGTCTTTTTGAAGTAATCATTTTCAGTTTTCAACTTTTTATTTTGTTGAAAAAGATTTGCATTATCTCGAAACAAAAAAACTAATTTTCTGTTTTAACTCCTTGTTTCTAACATAGGATTCTTTCAAACTATCATGCAATTTTATAATGAAAGATTCAAGATCATCATCAGTTTCATCATCACTTTCAAATTGAGAGTTACAAGATGTTACCTCATCATCTCCAATGGCCATAAAAGCTAATTGAGCAGATTTTTCATCCTCTTTAATTTCACTATCGGAGTTGCACTCATTCCATGTGAATTGAAATTTGTTGAATTTTGGTTTTCTTCTTTCTTTTTTCTTCATCACTGGACACTCATTTGTATAGTGCCCAGGTTGGCCGTATTCAAAACACTTATCAGTTTATTTTTTGTTGAACTCTAGCTTCTTTTTGTTTCTCAAGTTGTTGGACTGATTCGGGAAGGAGTTGCTAGGTCCACCTTTTCTGAATCTACTCTTGTTGAGTATTCTTTTGAAGTCTCATGTGATGAGTGCAATATCACTATCATCACCTTCCATGTCATCTTCATTCACGGAGGCTGTATCATCTTCATCTTGTGAAACCTTCAGAGCAATATTCTTTCTCACTTTTGTATCTTCTTCTTCCTGCACTTTGGACTTGAGTTTTACCTCATAAGAAGTCAGTGAATTAATGAGAGATTTAATAGGCAAGGTATTTAGATCTTTGGTTTCCTTAATGGCAGTCACTTTACTCTCCCAATGCTTAGATAAAGCATTCAGAATTTTTCTGTTTTTCTCACCTAGAGAGTATTCCTTTTTCCAGCACCTTCAAATCCTTAATAAGGTCATTGAATCTACAATACATCTCATCAATGTTTTCATGAGGTTGCATGTTGAAGGATTCATACTTTGCAACTAGAATAGATTTCTTTTGTTTTCTAACATTTTCACTACCTTCATGAATTTCTCTCAGTTTATCCCAAATTTTCTTGGCTGACTTGCAGCCTTTGACTCTAATAGATTCATTTGAATCTAAAGCACAATATAACACATTCGTGACTTTTGCATTTAATGTGAGATGAGCTCTATCTGCAGCAGTCAGTTTACTTCTTGTTTTTTGTCTAGATTTCTGAGTATTTTCATCTATAAGAGAGGCATCATATGGACCTTCACTAATAATAAACCACAATTCAATATCAATAGATTGCAAAAAAATAATCATTCTTTCTTTCCAATTCACATAATTTGACCCATTAAACATAGGTGGTCTAATGACAGAATGTCCTTCAAAAAATATAGCATTGTTGGTTATCATCTTTACTCCAAATCCGATTGAACTTAATCTCTAGGAGACCAAACTGTGATACCAATTGTAAGGTCCGAAAACAAGCTCTTTTCTAGGCGACCACACAATGGAGCAGTTGATGAGAAAGCGCAAGTGCTTGTGAGTAGAAGAGATAAACAATTTAAAGATCACAAACGTAACAATAAGTAAATAAAAAGGAAAGAATTACAAACCAATTAACTACCCAACTTCTCTTGAGCTTGTAGATTAATTCAAACAAACTTCTTCAAGTTGATAAATTACAATCACTCTTGTGTATAAAGGAAGGTTCATCTCCTCCTTACCCCGAACTCCACTCGGTCAAGTCAGGACGTTTTACTATCCCTCAGGACAACTCTCACAGAACTACACACATGAAGTATTCACTCACAAATGAAAAGTTTACAATGAACCTCACACCACTAAGACTACAAATCTCCTTTGAAGAATATTTTCTCATCAAAATCACTCTAGATCTTTTGTATCTTCAGTGTGTCAAAGTTGTTTGAAACATCTGACCAACTACTATTCATATAGGATCAAGAAAGTGTCTCATTAATACTTCCAATGGATAGAAAGTAGCTGAAGAGTCAACTAGCCGTTGGAGTGTCGGACGTCCGATAGCCCTGTTTTATGCGTCCGATAGCAGGCAGTGAGTTTAAGAGATTTTCTTCAATTCTTTCGGACGTCCGGTGCAAGTTTTTTGTGCATCCGACAGCAAACAAAGAGATTTGAGAAATTATCTTGTTTCTATCGAACCTCCGGTAGAGACATATTCAGCGTCCGATAGTTTTGTCCACTTCGAAAGATCCTATCAGACGTTCGAAGCATGCGTCCGAAGTTGTGCAATGATTATCGGACGTCCGGTACTGTCTTCTTGAGCGTCCGACAGGTTTAGCATACTCTGTCTTTTTCAAATGTGCTTAATTTTTGAACCTGATTTGTTCATTTCTGAAAAAGCCTTTGAGGAGATGTTAGTAACATCCATTTGTTTTGTAATCATCAAAAGCTAGGGACTAAGGTCAACAACTGAAAGTTCCCGCATAATTTGGCTCTCGCTTCATGCAAATGAGTTTTAGACAAGTCATTGTAGAGCAAATTAAAGTCTGCCTCCCGATGCTTATAGGCCTCTTCTGCAGCCCGAACTCTGGTGAAAATATTCCCAAACGTCTCCCTACTCCAGGGCTTCAAGCGATTCTGCACCTGCATAAGTTTCTGATGAAATTTGGTCATGCCCACCCCAGAAATAGAAAAACGTTACTCCTCTATGAGAATGTCCAAGAACTGAGGGTGAGTGGACCAAACGTTCAAAAACCTAAAGCCACCACTCCATGACCCCTTTGGTCCACACTTTATCAATAACGACGCATGATCAGAGCAGCCTCTTGCCAAATGTGATAGCCAAGTAACCAGGTAAGCATCCATCCACTGAGAGTTAATCAATGCAAATCCACTGGTGATAGGCCATAGTTAAACGTGGTGGAATTAAATTTCTCCATGTTAGTAATATTTTCCTAGGAACCCACCTACCCTCTTGTCAGCTGAGGAGATGACATTGAAATCTCCTGCCGCCAGCCACGGCTTAGAGAGGCCATTACTAATAGACTCCATACTTTGTCATAAAGATCTTCTCCTTACCCTAGTGCACTTAGTATAAATCCCCGAGAAAGCAATCGAGACACAAGAACGAAAATCAATTAAAGCATGCACCATTTGCTCAGCAAATTTAGTGAAATTCAATCACATGCCATCGGACCACAAAAACCAGATTTTTCCTTCAAAAACAGAAGGCGAGTTGTCAAAGGAAAGACGGCGACGAACCGCATCCAATTGGGCAATATTCGACATCGGTTCTAATAAAACAAACAGGCTAACCAAGTAATCACTACATAACTACTTCAAATATCTCAAAGAATCCATACGGGATGCTCCTCTAATATTCCAAATAAGTATGT